TCTTAAAAGCACTTTCCCCCCACACCTCCCTTCCTCCTGGGCTTAACTTTACTCCTGATTTCTCTACCTCCTCCCCCTGAGCGGCACAGAGGTTGCAGTCAGTTCATCACACGTTGTTTCTGCCACTCCTTCCTCCTCAGCAGGATGACTCCTCACACTCTTCCCCTGCTCCAGTGTAGGGCCCTCCCATGGGAAACAGTGAAACAGTCCTCCACAAATTTCTCCAACATGAGTCCTTCCCATGGGCTACAGTTCTTTATGAACTGCACCAGCATAGGTCCCTTCCATGGGGTGCAGTCCTCCAAGAGCAGACTGCTCCAGCATGGACTTCCCATGGGGTCACAGCCTCCACTGGGCACCCACCTGCTCCAGCGTGGGGCCCTGCACAGGCTGCAGATGGATATCTGCTCCTCTGTTAACCTCCACGGGCTGCAGGGGCATAGCTTGCCTCACCATGGTCTTCATGGTTTGCAGGAAAATCTCTGCTCCAGCACCTGGAGCACCTCCCGGCACAGAGGTTGCAGTCAGTTCATCACACGTTGTTTCTGCCACTCCTTCCTCCTCAGCAGGATGACTCCTCACACTCTTCCCCTGCTCCAGTGTAGGGCCCTCCCATGGGAAACAGTGAAACAGTCCTCCACAAATTTCTCCAACATGAGTCCTTCCCATGGGCTACAGTTCTTTATGAACTGCACCAGCATAGGTCCCTTCCATGGGGTGCAGTCCTCCAAGAGCAGACTGCTCCAGCATGGACTTCCCATGGGGTCACAGCCTCCACTGGGCACCCACCTGCTCCAGCGTGGGGCCCTGCACAGGCTGCAGATGGATATCTGCTCCTCTGTTAACCTCCACGGGCTGCAGGGGCATAGCTTGCCTCACCATGGTCTTCATGGTTTGCAGGAAAATCTCTGCTCCAGCACCTGGAGCACCTCCTCCCCTCTCTGGTGCCTGGAGCACCTCCTGCAGACCTTGGTGTCTGCAGAGTTGTTCCTCTCGCGTATTCTCACTCCACTCTTCACCTGCAATTGCTGTTGTGCAGCAGCTTTTTCCCTTCTTAAATATGTTATCACAGAGGCACTACCACTGTCGCTGATGGGCTCAGCCTTGGCCAGCGGTGGATCTATCTCGGAGCTGGCTAGTACTGGCTTTATCAGACATAGACAGAGCTTCTAGCAGTTTCTCACAGAATCCACCCTTATAGCCCCCCTGCTACCGAAACTTGCCACACAAAACCAATACAGTATCAGAGGATGAAAATGAAGTATGGTCCTCCAGTTGACTGGAGTCCGTTGACTTTAAACCACTCCAATATTTTTAGTTTGATTTCCTTGGGAAATGAAGACTAGCTGATAGTATGTGTGTATCTGTTTGTCCATATGTTCTTCCGCCCAATAATTTTCAGCGCAACCAATTTCAACCACATTTAAAAGAGGGTGGAAGGCTGAAAAGTAACTTGTACCTGTCTCATAAAAACTGGTGATTAGGTAATGCCCCACTCTTTCCATAGGGGAAAAAGCCTGAGTAACCCAGGTGGTACCTGGCAGCCACCAGCCAGGCCAAATGGTGACTGCATTTTGCATTGTATTGCAGTGTGCATTTTGTTCCACTAGGAAACAAGCACATGTTTCTGGGCTAGCCACAGCATGCCGTTTCTTTTTCCGGCAGGGGATGTCACAGGGGATATGGTGGGATCTGGCTTTCATTACAGCAGGGTGAGAGGGGATTTTGGAGACAGCAGACAAGAACCCACGGGGATGCGAGCTTGGTGCATTCTGTTCACAGACCAGCTTGGTCTACAGCAGTCTAATAAGAAATACTTCTAGAAGGGCATCATTGCTGATGAGGATCCTATGCACCTGTCCTACATGTGCACATCCACCTTAGCGTCCTACACCTGCGATGTGTAAATTGGAGATGGGCATCCTTTAGTGGTGGCATCCTCATGCCACAGTGAGGGGGCAATGTGACCCGAGGAGGGGCCACTGGGCTGCCATACAGCATCCCAGGGACAAAAGTTGTGCAGTCACACTGCCTCCATGTCCCCAGCTGCGAAAGGACACCCTTTTGTGAAACGCCTGGGGAGTGACTGATGAAAAACCTGGTGTGAATGTTAAGTAGTACTTCATTACTGCTGTTCCTCTGACCAGAGGATATGATTTTAGGGGGCAATAGACCTACAGGAGCTAATTACTCCTTGGGAAAAAAAGTTCGTGTTACATATGGTAGGAGGAACCTGTATTTAAAAGGAGAGGGGTAGTGGGAGAAGCCTCTTGTGAGCAAACGGTGGCTTTACGAGCTGGATTTCCTACACAGAAGGATTCCTTCGGGTCCCTCTGAAATTGCACGGAAGTCACGGGAGATCCAGCAAAGATTAATGCAGCTTGATGCTTGCTATTTTTCCTGGAGGCCTTGGCAGTTCTGTAATTACAATGAGTGCATTTGAATCTCCCTCTGGTCCCCGTGTACTGCCCAGCAGTGACACCAGCATCAAAGAGACCCTTGCTTCAGAATTTGTCAAGCAGAACTCTGCTGAGAAATCAAACCTGCCCCACCGCTTTTCTTGTTGTGGCAATAAGGAATATTCCTTTGCTGAATAACCTCCCCGTGTCAGCCGGAGCCTTGGGGACTCCTGAGCTCAGCGTGGCTCATAGACCTGTGTGTGATCCAAGAGATACATTTGCAGAGGAATGGGAGGACCATATTTCTATAGCATAACATCTATATATTTATATATATAAAAATAAAATAAATGAGCTGGCTTGCAACACTAGGTGGCAGAGGTGGGATCTTTTCTGCTCTGAGCGCTGTCCTATAAGGCATTGCTTGTTTAAGTACAGTCGCATTTAGTTCTACAGTTCTTTATGAACTGCACCAGCATAGGTCCCTTCCATGGGGTGCAGTCCTCCAAGAGCAGACTGCTCCAGCATGGACTTCCCATGGGGTCACAGCCTCCACTGGGCACCCACCTGCTCCAGCGTGGGGCCCTGCACAGGCTGCAGATGGATATCTGCTCCTCTGTTAACCTCCACGGGCTGCAGGGGCATAGCTTGCCTCACCATGGTCTTCATGGTTTGCAGGAAAATCTCTGCTCCAGCACCTGGAGCACCTCCTCCCCTCTCTGGTGCCTGGAGCACCTCCTGCAGACCTTGGTGTCTGCAGAGTTGTTCCTCTCGCGTATTCTCACTCCACTCTTCACCTGCAATTGCTGTTGTGCAGCAGCTTTTTCCCTTCTTAAATATGTTATCACAGAGGCACTACCACTGTCGCTGATGGGCTCAGCCTTGGCCAGCGGTGGATCTATCTCGGAGCTGGCTAGTACTGGCTTTATCAGACATAGACAGAGCTTCTAGCAGTTTCTCACAGAATCCACCCTTATAGCCCCCCTGCTACCGAAACTTGCCACACAAAACCAATACAGTATCAGAGGATGAAAATGAAGTATGGTCCTCCAGTTGACTGGAGTCCGTTGACTTTAAACCACTCCAATATTTTTAGTTTGATTTCCTTGGGAAATGAAGACTAGCTGATAGTATGTGTGTATCTGTTTGTCCATATGTTCTTCCGCCCAATAATTTTCAGCGCAACCAATTTCAACCACATTTAAAAGAGGGTGGAAGGCTGAAAAGTAACTTGTACCTGTCTCATAAAAACTGGTGATTAGGTAATGCCCCACTCTTTCCATAGGGGAAAAAGCCTGAGTAACCCAGGTGGTACCTGGCAGCCACCAGCCAGGCCAAATGGTGACTGCATTTTGCATTGTATTGCAGTGTGCATTTTGTTCCACTAGGAAACAAGCACATGTTTCTGGGCTAGCCACAGCATGCCGTTTCTTTTTCCGGCAGGGGATGTCACAGGGGATATGGTGGGATCTGGCTTTCATTACAGCAGGGTGAGAGGGGATTTTGGAGACAGCAGACAAGAACCCACGGGGATGCGAGCTTGGTGCATTCTGTTCACAGACCAGCTTGGTCTACAGCAGTCTAATAAGAAATACTTCTAGAAGGGCATCATTGCTGATGAGGATCCTATGCACCTGTCCTACATGTGCACATCCACCTTAGCGTCCTACACCTGCGATGTGTAAATTGGAGATGGGCATCCTTTAGTGGTGGCATCCTCATGCCACAGTGAGGGGGCAATGTGACCCGAGGAGGGGCCACTGGGCTGCCATACAGCATCCCAGGGACAAAAGTTGTGCAGTCACACTGCCTCCATGTCCCCAGCTGCGAAAGGACACCCTTTTGTGAAACGCCTGGGGAGTGACTGATGAAAAACCTGGTGTGAATGTTAAGTAGTACTTCATTACTGCTGTTCCTCTGACCAGAGGATATGATTTTAGGGGGCAATAGACCTACAGGAGCTAATTACTCCTTGGGAAAAAAAGTTCGTGTTACATATGGTAGGAGGAACCTGTATTTAAAAGGAGAGGGGTAGTGGGAGAAGCCTCTTGTGAGCAAACGGTGGCTTTACGAGCTGGATTTCCTACACAGAAGGATTCCTTCGGGTCCCTCTGAAATTGCACGGAAGTCACGGGAGATCCAGCAAAGATTAATGCAGCTTGATGCTTGCTATTTTTCCTGGAGGCCTTGGCAGTTCTGTAATTACAATGAGTGCATTTGAATCTCCCTCTGGTCCCCGTGTACTGCCCAGCAGTGACACCAGCATCAAAGAGACCCTTGCTTCAGAATTTGTCAAGCAGAACTCTGCTGAGAAATCAAACCTGCCCCACCGCTTTTCTTGTTGTGGCAATAAGGAATATTCCTTTGCTGAATAACCTCCCCGTGTCAGCCGGAGCCTTGGGGACTCCTGAGCTCAGCGTGGCTCATAGACCTGTGTGTGATCCAAGAGATACATTTGCAGAGGAATGGGAGGACCATATTTCTATAGCATAACATCTATATATTTATATATATAAAAATAAAATAAATGAGCTGGCTTGCAACACTAGGTGGCAGAGGTGGGATCTTTTCTGCTCTGAGCGCTGTCCTATAAGGCATTGCTTGTTTAAGTACAGTCGCATTTAGTTGGAGCTGCAGGAGAGAGACAGAGAGATTCTCTGTGTTTACAGCCAGCACAGGCTACGGCGAGCATCTAACCTGGCCCCCCCTTTCTCCAGCACTTGAAGGGGAGAGTGCGAGGTTATTTGGGAATCTGGCCACCCTGGGTCAGCTTTTGCTGCAACTGGATTGTGAGAGCTGGTAAAGCAGAGCCCAGGGGGACTGAAGGGAGACACGAATCCCATTTTATCTGAGAGGAGAGAAGGAAAAAAAAAAAAAAAAAAAAAAAGAGATAAATTGAGAGAGAGAGAAGCGAAGAGACGGAGAAAAAGGCAGAGGAAGCGGAGCGAGTGAGAGAGAAGCATGAGGACCTACTGGCTGCACAGTATCTGGGTGCTGGGATTCTTCCTGTCCCTCTTCTCCTTGCAAGGTATGTGATGAGTTCTTTCTTGCAGCCTCCTCAAACCCCTCTGCTTGAATTGAGGCTGACGGACTGAGGATGGCCTGAAACATGGAGCTGGAAGCTAGAGCTTCCTCTCTCCCCCCCTCTTCCCCTCCAAACCTTCCCCCCCTCAGGAAATAAGCCAAGGAGAGATCGCTGCTGGTGAATCCTATGGTTAGAGGGCACTGCATGTGACTGACTTTGCTGCTGTATTTATGCTTTTGCAGAGGGGGAGTTTGAGGGGGGGCACAGTAATATTTGCAAAGGAAAAGAGGGGTGGGTGAAGGTGGGTATCCCCTCCATCCTCATCCACTATTTCTCAGCACTTTGGGTCACAAGTACTGATGGTCCTGTATTCTTCAGCTTCCTGAAGAGATCAGTGTTAAGTTTCTTTGGTTTTTTTTTTCTTTTCTGTTTTATTTTTATTTTGCTTTTGCCTGGAGAGGGGGAGGTTAAAGGAACCTCTGTGCCTCTGTTCTGTCTGCATGGCACTATGTCCTTCCCCTCCACCAGGGAAAAAAAAAAAAAAAGAGAGAGTGATGGAGGAAAGACAGGAAAGGAAAATTTGTTGGGTATGGGGTTTTGTTCAGTGGAGAATTGCCAGCTGGGCTTCTTGCTTTAAGAGCCAAGTGCGAGTACAGAATTTAGTTTGAAGTGATGACAGGCATGCTAGCTGCTTTTGAGATGCTTTCCGTAAACAGGAGTTAAGGGTTAATGCATCCCATGCTGTATGTATAAATACATGTCACACATGTACATATAATCATAGCCCTCCAAATCACAGCTTGTACATGATCCACATTCATTTACACACACCAGTGGTCCTTCACACACATACACAGACACACACACTCATGAATATAGCAGGGGAGATGAATAAACTCACTCTGGCACATCCAGTTCTAGCTCCCTAGCACATGCAATTCCTGGAGTGCCTCTCTCCCGCTCACGTTCTCGCTTCCTCTCTCTCCCCCCCGCCCCCCC